ATTACCAGGGCGCTTTGGCTCCAAACCCTGAGGATTTTGACATCATACTAAGCTTTCAAACTTAAAATATAAGATAATTTTTGTCGGACAAAACTTTCATATAATTTTCGAACGTGACTGAACGTACGGATACTTTCAAGCATATGATATTTCCTGACTTACATTAGAATGAATTAGCCAAGGCATTTTTTCAAGAGGGTCATCCGAAATAGTCTGCGTTGCTTCGCTTTTTTATTGCAAAAGGCATGGATTCTGGTGATTCTGGTTTGAGTTCTTTGACTCCGGCGCAGAGGGCTCAATTGGTAGATCAGATGAAAACAGAAGTAGCAATTGCAAGTGCACGTGAACTTATCGAGGTTTGTTTTGTTCTTATCAACATGCATCGTTTTCAGCAAATGACTCAGAAATGTTTCGAAAAATGCGTCACAAGGCCAGGAACTTCCTTAGATAACTCCGAACAGGTAGCTCTTTTTTTGCGTCTTATTTTTAGAAATGTGTCGGAAACTGTATGGATAGGTATATGGACTCCGTAAACTTAATTACAAAAGTATTTGCCACTCGTCTGCAGCAAGAAGCCGCCAAAATGCAAGGACTGTCTTGACTTTCAATTTCGGATTTTGTACCCTGTCCTTTTTTACGCTCTTATATTCATTTTGTTGGCCTTTGATGAACTACCACTTCATTTTCTTGCAATGTGGTCGTCGAAATGTCTAACAATGTTAAGAAAAAAGACGAGATTAGTACTCTGTAAACTCTCTTAGAAATAATGCAAAGATGCAGTTCACGTTCACGACTTTTTCGTACATTTTTGCTCCAATCTAAAATGCCGGAATGATTTCGTTTCGTGTCGTTACCTGAATTCTAATATTGTCAATTTGGCCGTAGCTTTTTTTATCCTTCTATTAACTTTTAGTCTTCGTAGCAGATTAGGCACCCTATTTATACAATGAAAGTACACGCATATGCCTTTGTGGCGATTAGTTGTGTGTTCCATGGTGTGGTCTCCATGTAACTGTAAATTTGTAGTCTTTTCAAATTTGGGCATCATGCTAAATGGGCTTAGTCGTACTTGTGCATTTTCCACTTAAATCATGTAGGTTTTTGACTGAAAAAAGCATTTAATACACGAACCGGACGAAAATCGTTTTAAAGTTCTTCACGAGCATTACTTGTACTTATTACGGCTGTGATCATGTATGCTCTACCCGGCCTCAGTGATATCACGGGTGGTACCTCTCCATGGGTGATGATTGGTGGCAGCGGATCTGGAGAGCACCCAGTCTCTTCTCCAGTGATGGAGACCGAAGATATAAGGTTAAAGAACTGCTTCGGTGTCTTGAGGGACGGTGTCGAGCCAAGTCTTCAGTTATCCTCATCTTGGACGCTTCCAGATGGGCTGCGGCGCCGGGCCGAAAGCACATAACAAAGCTCGTTGGGCGGACAACGGAGAACGTGTCCAAACCACCTCAGTCGCCTTTCTTGAATGGCCTGAGATGTCCTCGCGATACGATCTCAGCCGGTGCATACTGTCTCATTCGCGATGTAGTCGCTATACTTAACTCTCAGGATCGTCCTTGGGCATCGGTGGTCGACGATGTCTAGTTTTCGTTCATCTTCAGCGCGCACAGCCCAGCGTTCACATCCATAGAAGAGGACAGACCGGATGGGTACACGGTATGCA